CAACGTTACTTCCTTCACAACATTTTTTAAAGATGCCTATCTCTTACAAATATTTAATAATAAAAAGTAGTAATTAAGTATTTATTTTAAATAATTGTTTTTTAGTATATTTTTAATACTCAAAATAAGTATTGTATTTACATGTTGTGTACAGACAATACAGATAACATACATATGTCGTCAAGGTCATAGTCACTGATGGTGGTGGGCTCTCTTTTTTATATGTTACGACAGGTGTTTAAGTGTTTCACAATGTAAATATTTAGACGCACAATGTCAATAAAAATAGATTACAAAATAAATGTATACATATGTGTAATACTAACCCAAGAATAACTGCAGAAATCAGAGCATGTAAGATAAAGACGTTTCTCGAGTAATTATATACAAATGCATTTAACATTATATTCCAAAATGTTACGTCGGAATGCATAATAAAAATCATACCAGCATAAGTACATGCTAATATATAAAAAATTAATACAATCCATCCAACTATTATACGAATTATCCAGTTACGTAGTCTTTGGTATTCCTTTGTCGCTCCGAGGGCTTCCAACGAGTCGTCTACTATAGCAAGTTCACGTAAGCACGTTTTCAATTCCTTTAAAAGAATCATATTGATCGATTATGCGACACAGAACAAAATTATTGTAATTTTATATTTGAGTAAAAATTGTTATTACAATGTGTATAGAAAATGTGACAGATAAAGAGTTATAATAACATAAGCATTAAAATTGATCTGTTACAAAAATTTTTTTTTAAATTTAATTTAGTTTATTGCACAACTCAATGAAAAAGATTACATGTTAACAAAGTAATAAACATAAACATAAAATATGATACAATATACTATGGTAGCTTGCAAATGGTTAGAAGCATCAGCAAAACTACTGTTACTTGTAGCCTACCAGCAAAAAACCAGGACTAAGATGATGCAATGATTGGTGAAGCAATAGTTAAAATCATACACACACACACGCACGCAAAAACAGGCGCAAGCACCTACACATATATCAGTTACAATTTTTTTTAAATACTGTGAGTGACGCATCAAAATACGAGACAGCAGAAACAAAGAGAGAGAGGTTTTTATTGATACAAGAAAAGAGTTAAAATATTTGACTAAGGAGTAGAAGAGAGCAGTACGGAACACAGTGGAACGATAAGTAATCTTAGTACCTGGTGATAAGGGGATTAAAAGTAAAATAAAGTTCAGAGTTCAACTGAAAAAGGTGTTGAAGATATAGAGAAGTATTGAAGCAAAAAAAAAATATGAAAAACAGTACAGGTTTAGAACAAAACGTTGCCATATCCTAAGTCAGCCAGATCTCTGGTAAATACATAGATATATTGTCGTATTTACGGACGCAGTAGGAGAAGCGGAGGCATGAATTTTGGATACGCTGTACACAATTTAGAAGTTATTGACAGAGTTAGATTAAGTTAAAAAAATAAAAGTTAAGTTACAAAGTTAAAAAGTTAATTAATTTTAATGTAACTTAACTTAATTACATTTAAGACTCTTAACTTTTTAACTTTATTTAGTTACATTTTTTTTATCGTAGCTATTAATTTTTTATTTAATTCTTTGAAGTCAAGTCTCAGACATAATATGCGGCAATAGCTTAATATAATATAACTTAAAATGAGATGAAAATGGCAAAAGTGAGCAAATTTACTATGTGTTGACCAATGAAATTATAAATATTCTAGTAAATTTTTTCACTTTTGTAATTTTCACCTCATTTTAAATTATTTAATCGACCCTCAGATTTCAATCTGTTAGAAACCGTGTATTTCGGTATATTAAGTGTCTGATAGGTTGAAATCTATTATTCCTTATTATCGCTACTCCCTCGTATTGTGTCTAAAGCTTTAATCATGACTACAGGCCAGTATTTATAATCAAATTTTATATACTATACAATATCAATATATAAACAAAACATGTAAATACAATATAGAATATTTGTTAAATAAAGTATATATTTGATGGGCAAAATCTAAATTAATTTAGAGATTAAAAGTATATATTTAAGATGGGCAGGTCACGCGGCGCGTATGGATGAGAATCGAATTGCATATAAAGTACTAATTGGTAAACCGGATGGGAAAAGATCATTGGGTAGACCAAGACGTAGATGGGAAGATAATATTAGAATGGACCTTAACGAAATGGGGTACGAGGGTCACAAATGGAGGGATCTTGCTCAGGGACGGGAACAGTGGCGGGATTTGGTATTTGCGGCAATGAGCTTTCGAGTTCCTAACGCCTAATAATAATAATAATAATAATAATAAGTATATATTTGTCATTTCTATTATTTGTAAGATTGAAATCAAGAATTAAAAAAAAAACCATTTAACTTTTAACTATTCAATTTTTTTTATTAACTTAACTTTTAATTCAATTAATTTCGTTATAAATTAACTTATATCTTAACAAGTTATCTAAATTAAATTTTTAAGGATGTTAACTTTAACTTAACTCTTAGTTAAAAAAGAAGGTTAACTTACCAAACTCTGATTATTGATTAAGAGCTGAAACGTAGACAACATCGGCATAATCATAAAATAATGAAAGAACGAGTAATTGAGAAGAAGAGAGTTTTGAAATACAAGGAAAGGATGTGACCACGGGGACAAAGTAGACGTAGGGCGTAAGCAGCTCGACATTTGACGGGTACGTGTGACTCGAATGTCCATGAAGAGTCAACATGGACACCAAGTATCTAGAGGAGGAGCGAGGAATTGAAACGGAGTTAAGAGAAATATCGAAGGATTGAATATGGGATAATAATGTTGAGAAACCGACAATTAGCGAGAATGATTTAGAGAGATTTAAATGCAGTGAATTATTAGTAAATCATTCGAGAATAAATTTTAGATCTTTATTTAAAGCAGAACAGTCTGCAAAAGCATCGAATGGGTGAAACAAATTTGAAAAGAATTACGTCGTCTGCATATATGAAAAGCTTAGGGGATAGAAAAACGTTAGACAAATCAGAGATAAAAATATTAAAAGTAAAATTCCGTGAATGGAATCCTGAAGTACTCCAGAAAAAAACAGCATGAGAAGAAGAAAAAAGAGAAAAAGAATTATATTTGAGGACTTTTCTGCTGCGATTTGTAAAGAACGAGCAGATTAGCGAGAGAGCGGAATGAGAGAGACTGCATAGCTTGAGTTTAACTAAAAAGTAGGTTATGGTTAACGGTGTTTCTATAAAAAAGCTTTCTATAAAAATGTTTTATAATTTTGTATTTGCCAATAATTGTGAACTTTTAATACTCTTAATTAAAAATACGATTAAATGAAAGAAAAGTAATACTAAAAGGTCAAGTATTATTATATTGGAACCAGGAGAGTACATTTAAAAATTTGTTTACCTTAAAACGACTGAGGCTAATGAGAATTAATGTAATGGTGGCCAACGCGAAGAAATCGAAGATTACTGACTCATTTGTTTGTAAATGCCAGACATATATTGGATAGTAATAGAAGTATGTCAGAGAGCCCCATTTGGCCAAAGCATATAGGTAAGAAAGATACGCCCTAGGTTGTCCACGAGGATATTCGATCATGTACAAATTGCAAAACGATCCAATGGTCAATAATGGTGCCAGCGCGCTTTCTAACGTCTCTGTCATAGTTTCTCTGAATCGTCGGCTAGTATTTTAACTGAATTAGTTCTTTTGCTGCATGAGACAAACACGTTTTAATATTTTTTTATAAGATTTACGGAAATAGTTTTCGCAGTTCCTTTAGAAACTTTGTGAGAACTACACTGTAAGATTTGTACACTGGGGGATAACGTATGTAAATGCCGTTAAACCAACAAGTATTGAACAACAAAATGGACACAGATAATCTAGATTAGATTGTCTTTCTTTTCACGGAATTTTTATTTATAGGTACGTATATTAATCCATCAGTTGTGGATCGCCCTTGAAAAAAAAATTCATATTTTTATTCAGAACGTTTTATCAAACGTTTTGTGAGATGTTTAGTAATTATGATTGTTCATATAGACTACATTATATATGGATGATCTTATTTCATTTTGGTACTGTCTTGTATGTTTTTTAATTTTAATTAAATTAAGTAATAACAATTATCCACAATTAGATTCTATGTACTAATTGCGGATCAGTTCACCAAATGTTTTATCCATTTTGGATTTAATTTCAATTGAGAGCATGATATCGATTTTTTTAATGAAATCTAATGATATTTACTACCTCCTGTAAAAGCAGTAAAGCAATGTTGGTAAATATGCGTTTTAGGTGATACATCACCAATTCGAATGTCCTTTTGATATATTGTAGGGGAGAATGCTCTGAATGATTACTCATAAAAAGTGCGGGACGGTATTGATTTAGAAGATATAGTAAATTAAAGTTCTATAATATGTAGAGAATAAATTTGAAAAATAATTAAACAAAAGATAAAAATAAACTTTAAATACATAAATTCATACTAAAAAATGTTTTTATATAAGAGTCAAGATTTTATAGATAAGAGATAAGTATTTATCATATTTTATTTTATCATACGCTGACAAAAATAAAAAAACAACATATTTAATTCTAATCGGTCTTTACAATAGATATGACACATTTGCGTTATAATTATGGGGCAGTAAATAAAACTGAAATTATTAGAAGTTAGCAAATAATACTAAACATACAGTTATGTCTTATTCTATATTTATATCATCTTCGTAGTACAGTTCTCTTCTTTGTTTTACTCTTTCTTTCTAAATTTGATACTATAATAACTGACATAAAAGAACATGTTTAAATATACGTATATATTATAAAGTTACATACAATGACTCATACAACAGAATAAATGCAATACATAATGTAACTAACTGATTCAAAAAGGCATAGACGAAAATGACTTTTTAATAATACATAATGCAATAAATATAATGTTAATTTGCTATAGATATTTTAATTCAAGAATTCTCAAAATTAAATTTTCAGTGGCATGAGCGGATCAGTTTCATAAGTCGTTGTATATAAATAACTTTGTGTACAATATATAGTATATATATTTTTAGTATAAGATTTTTAGAAGTAGAAAATCTATAAAGTGGTCTGTTCTGTAAGCGTGGTATCGCTCTCACACTCAGTATTTTGTGGCGACAAATTCAATTCACGATGATCGTTATTCTTCTCGCAAGCCTTCTTCGCCTGTTCTAAAAGACTTTGCGCCATCTGATTGCCCGTCTTCTCCACCATTTGTGAAAAGTAACCATTTGGTTTGTCGTGTAACAGCTCATATGGGCAACCGAATTCCTATTCACATGATAATTCTAATTATCAAATGCATATAAAGACTTTTCTTCAAGATATTACAAAATTTTCCAAAATAGCTCGTCGATTATTCTTTGTATACGTAACATTGAATTTTCAGAAAAAAGTATATTGTTAATAATAAACAATCAATTTTAAATTTTCTAAATAATTTGAAGTAAATTTTCTTTCTAAAGAGTAAAAATTAAATTGATCTTGAATAAGAATAACCAATATTCAATCTTAAAGAATAAAATTTCACTTCTTAGAATGAATTTTATTCTAAACATTTTTCAGAAATTGAACTGATCATGCTATTAATCAAAATTATTTTGAACAAACTGTTTAGATAGTTACATAGAAAATTATATCTCTTAATTTTGTTTTACAAAATCGATATTCTTCTTAACCCATTCACACTTTAATTGTTAAAACGGAAAAACCTACCACGATAGAACCGTTCTCCATCACAATGATCCGATTGCTATCTATAATCGTATTCAAACGATGTGCAATCGTGATAACGGTGCATTCTTTAAAACTGCTCCTTATTGTATCCTGAATTAAGGCATCCGTGCTAGAAATAGAATTTCAAATTTAGGGATGCAAATTTATAAACATGTTAAGTTTTGAAATATCTCTCTTTCTCTCTCTCTCTCTCTCTCTCTCTCTCTCTCTCTCTCTATCTCTCTCTTTCGTGCGTTGCAAATTACAGATACAAATTATATAATTTTGATAAAAATGTCTACCAATCCGATTTAATTTGAAAAAATTTGCTTTCTATTAATCTCGAATTTAATATAAAACAAATGTTATCGTACCCGACCATAATTTGATGTACCCTTGTAACATACTGTGAAAATACTTTATATCATTTGTAATTATTTGCAAAAGTAGCAACTTAATAATAGAAAGTTTGAATTATTTACATATGGTAATTTATTGCTATACCTCATAGCAAAAAAGTCACGTTTATATTATAATAAACTCTCAA